AATGACCTTGCTTTCTCCAAGGCAACAAGATTCACTAAACCCATATTTGCACTCTGCAAGCACAATACAAGACACACAGCCTACAAACTTTCGCAACTCTGGAAGAGTAACATAAAATAAACGGTCAGTCAACGAGGAAAATTTCCAAGAAGGAAGACAATTGTTTCAGTTACTAAAAAGATACCCATGGAATTCCCATTCTCATGAAACCCATCCATTTTCAAATGCTATTGCATGTCTGCAAGTTGTATGTCTCAAAATTCAGTAGACCCAGATTGCATTATCACTCTTAATTTGCAAAATATAAAAGGAAGATGTCTATATAAGGTTCAGATAGTATGTGAAAAATGAATGCTTGGAATGATCCAATATTACTAAGATATTTATACTAACCCTCTACATTTTAGCAAAAGCCTGACCTAAAGGGAAATTGAAGTTATTATCATTTCAAAAATGGTGAAATACTATTTTTGGTCCTGTCATGAAAAAATTTCACAGAGTAATTTATAAAAACTTTCCTTCTCATAATTGTTACATGTGCTTGTCTTCAAGTACAGCAATGAATTTAGGGACCAGTTAAAAAAATTACTTCCTACAAAGTATTTTCAGGCTTCTTCTTTCAAAACAATTGTATGAACAGGTGTTTCAGAGAAGGGGTTGCTTCATTTTTACCATTTAGAGACACAGCTATCCTGATACCAATTAGCAAGAGATTTTTATGTAACTTTAAGCTAGCTTTGAAATGAAAATTTACCCTGCACCCATAGTGTTACTGTTGTATGCAGTCCAATGAACATATGAAGAAGAGTCCGACGTATCAAGTTTTGACTGTGAAACTAAAAGATACAATAAAGAAAGCTTACTACGTAATTGCATTTACAGTTATGTATACTTTTGTTGGTTTTGCTGCATTTTTAATAGACTTCATCCCATAAGCTATTGTAAAACTTTAATTCACTCTTCACAATTTCTTTTGTTTTAGCAGGTGCAACATGCATAGGAAGATAACAATATCATGAGATGTCTTTATCGTATGTTTTTATAACCTAAAAATACAAAAAAAATATGTACTTTTCTACTTATTATAGAAATGGCAGTCTATCCTGATTGTATTAATGCAATCCAAATATTTGGCATAAATGTAAGTGGTTTTCCTCTGATCTCTAGGGATGCAACTTATAAATATTCATACACATGGCTACTCTCACATGTGGGTGTCAGCTTTTCAAGTAATTCCATTGCAAAATTCATTGCTGCTTAATTTCTTGTATTTTCTGAGCTGACAATAGAAAGGTTTTAATATAGAAGAAAAAAAAAAGGCAGAAGAAGACATACATTAAATCAATTTTTAACACACAACAACTTATATTATAATCCACCAAATCAGAAGAATTTGAGAGACCCTGAAGAACCCACATGGGGGGAGGGGAGGGCAGGCAGAGGAGGAGGGGGGAGATCACCCAATTTACATCTTTTCTTACCAAACAATGCAATTCTACCAATTCTTCTTTCATGTCTACTACTGTGCATTCTTTCCATTAGACCATTCCTTCTTCTTTATCCTAAAGTACATACAAATGTCGTGCTTACATGAAGGCCATCGGTGGACCTTTTATGCAACATAAATAGACAAATTACACTTCAGTCTGACCTGACATCCTCATGCAGAAGCAAAACAGCATTCTACGCTTATTTTCTTAAGTGTAAGAAAGGTTCATCAGAATTTCCTCAACCTTTACAACAACATAAACTTAACCTTAAATGAACTAATCTCTGAAAGACAGACACATAGTCCTAGCTTTGATGAAGTATCACAGACTTTTCAAAACTTCTGAAAGTTTCATTCACCTGGTTTGGGGGAGGTGGGGGGTGGAGAGTGTTAAGTCTACAAATATGTTAATTACTCCTCAGGACTAAACTGATAACATCTCTCCTGCAGCGGAGGAAGTTACCAATCACTGAATAAAACACTATCTTTCAGCAGCTCTTCAGTAAACATATCTGTTACTAAATTTCCCTGTTATGTTACCCTGACTATGAGCAATGCGCAGTTCCTACCTATTTTGCGAGTATCTGTAGCAGAACAATAAATAAAGCCTGGGAGAGCTCACAAGAGGACAAACACAGGCTATATACAAAGACTTAGTAATTCATAAATCCAAAGAACAATTCTACTGGATTAATTATTTTCTAGTGTTTGAACAACATCTGCTATTGTCATAAACTATAATTGGCTAGAAAACAAACCTTGCTAAACATGGTGATTTCCCCAGTAACAGACCCAACAGAAAACCTGTTTGGAAGTTCTACCACAATGCTAGATGGCAATTGTAGTTGGGTATGACAAAGATCTCTTCTTATATTTGGGCAGTTGTGGTCTGGCCAGGGAACACACCAAGATCCACCAGCCCCATCTTGCTGAAACATTGAGGCTGACCATAAGAATCCCAAGCCAAAGTCCATCTTGCAAGACACAGTCTAGCTCAAGAACCTAAAAACAACAGTGAAGTACAGAACCTTCTGATACCCAAAATAACTCTTATCGAGGCATGGAAGCAGTAGTCTGCACTTTCTGGGGAGCTGGAGATTCTTTTACAGCGTTTAATGTTTTTCATTCAATACAGATGGGGAAAAATGGGTTGTCAGAAAAACTTAGTGCTCTGCTGGGAAAAAGCTGCTTGTAAAAAGGAAATGAGCAAAAGTTTATTTTGTGAGTATGTCTGTTTTGATGCATCACCAAATCTATCATTATCCCTTACCTTAGGGTTATATGTGAACCAAATGAGAAAGCAAGGAGAAGTAGTTGTCTAAACATGCTCGAGAAACCCTGTATACTCAGCCTATGCATAAGCCTCCTAAGTTACAGCATATTACTAACACTTGAGTAACTACAGCCATTAAATCTTCCTTTGTTAAAACCACACGTGAAATAAACGTGATCTAGACCAAAGAGAATTTCTGACATATGCTCTCAAGAATAAAAATGTAAAAAAAAACAACCCACCCAACACTTAAGAAAATGTGAAGCATACCTACTAAAAGCATGCACATGAGAAAACTGGCCTTCCCAATAAAGACAGCAAATCTCAGCTATTATAAATTTCCCCATCTGCCATTTAAGCAATATTAATTTAAAAATAAAATCATTTTAAAAGAGAAGAATATACAAAATACATTTTTATATGTACATATACAGGTGAGGAACAATCAAGTAATTAATAATTAAGATAAAAAAGCTTTTGGATTTGAGGTAGTTATTTTCTAAAATATTAAATACTAGATAGACAGAGGAAAAGATGGTGTTCTTCCAAGAGAAATGATGACACTTCACAGCGGTCATGGGAGAAAGGTCTGAGAAATTGCTGAACAGGCACCTCCCCATAGAGGCAGAGACAAGAACACCTGAGCTGAGCTGAGACTGCTGAACAACCACAAGTGGATAAGCTGATATTCCCCTTGAGCCTCTCAGGTCCCCGCGACCTCACACTCATTCCTGCAGAACAGGACAGGATTCCTTCTAGCCCAGCAGGCATCAAAACTAGATACTTCTTTATATCTGCTAACGTTGCACAATTGTTTATGCCATATCATGGGATTGTCCTATCACTAACTTGCCCAGAGACTGACATGAGAAAGTAGCACTAAGATTTATTATTTCCTGTGATGATAGATACAGAGAAATTTTTTAATTGATGAAAGCCAAAGAAAATTTTAAAATAAATGCCAACATTGTCTATCATAGATTAAGAAAGAAACAAACAACGCTACAGCCTAAACATCCATTTCAAATAAGCCAGTTCACTGATAGTATACCTAACTCTGGCAACACAACTTCCAAAAAATACAAGTAGGGCCTAAAAGAGAAAGTGAACTAATATAAGAACAAGACGGTTGGAGTGTGCATATATAGTGTTTCCAATTGCCTAGATAAGATCCCTGAAGAGAAAAGAAACAAATAAAGAAAGAAATAAGTAATGTCATTCTAACTATGCATGTTATGCTGGACAGCCTTTCAAGATCAAGGGCTTTTTCTTCTCCGCCTTTCTATGCTTTGATGCACTCTAAACAGTCAGCGCTTGTAGTATGTTTTCCCAGCTACCCTTGTAAGCAACTCTTTAAGCAACTTGTTTGCACGTCTACCCCAGCATTACACCACAGTAGTTGAGAGCACAAGCTAAATAAATATTCCTACAAGCTGCAAGTACAAGAAAGGGACCTTCCTTAAAGCATGTTCCTCAACATAATGAGGTGTGAGACAATTTAAACAGTTACTGTGGTAATAAAAAAAAGATACCGGGGGAGGAGGAAGGTGAAAATGATCCAATTCTGCGCATAAAGCAAGAACAAAAAAAATTATTTGGCGCTTCATACAGAATATGCCAGAACAGTTGAATGTCTTCCCTTGGATTTGATGAGTTTCTGGATCAAGCCTGCCTAGGTTTTCAATCTGGGGAGAAATTTCACTAAAGCTCCAGTCTGCTTACAAGAATAAGCTGGGACCACCGAGATAATCCTAACCAATTAATCACAGCCATGGGTCTGCATTATAAATTCACCATCAGTTTGGTGTGGCCCTACACTTTAAACTTGAGTAGGTGTTGTGCTGGACAACAGGACTGTCAGTCTTCTGAGGCTAAGTTTGACAAGATGCAAAACTACATCCTGACTTCATTCAGATATCCTTCAGGCAACATTCGCATCATTTACTGCAGTCGAAAAAAAATACGTTTCTTGGAATAGCCTGCATTTGCCCTGATCACATCATACCTCTTTGTACAGCATGACACCTGTGACACTGAAGTCAGTTTAAGACAGTAGGACAGAAGCTAAAAGCTGTCTCTTCAGACAAAGCAACACAGTTTCATAAAGGAACAAGAAAGATCTATTGCAACAAAGACATGCAGTGCTTCACAACATCTGTAAGCAATAAAAGATAAATTTAGATGATATCTACAAAACATGTTGGGGAGACAAGAAACTGATGGCAGAAAGGAACTTACTTGATTTTACTGAAGACAATGTCAACATCTGTAACTGTCACGTTCTTCCCATCTATCACATGACAGTCCTTACATAGCTTTGACCAGTTCTTCCCATGCATTTCTTTTCCTGTGGCTCTTGTATCACCATGGATGGCAAATTTTCTAAAGGCCTCTTCCAGAGCACTTATTTCTCCTGCCATAGCTCCCTCATGGGAGCTATTTGAATCGTAGGATAATCGTTTTGCTGCTCGGTCCTTTGCTGGATCTGAAGGTGACTTTGGAGGAGTCTTATTCACAGGTTTGGTTGACTTCGCTTTATTGTCAGCCATTTTGCTACAAAGAAGAGGAGGGTAAACTCATTACATTAATTTGACCTAGTTTACATTCTGTTAAGCTACAGGCTACAGGCCACGTCACATCGTATGAAGAATAAATGGTCTATAAAGTTAGCAAGAACTCAGTGCCCTCCACCATCAAACAACAGTGTACATAGAACTACGTAACTCTCTGCCCATCTAGAAAAAAATATAGCACATTTAAAAAAAAAAAAGGTAAAGAACACTCCAGAAATAGGGTACAAACCTAATTTCACCATCATTATATTAGTCAACAAGAGAACACAGTGTTTGTTTCCTGGTTTTTGCCTTTTTTTTTTTTAAATGGCAATCACCACAGTCACTCCACAGATTTGAATAAAAGTATGCCTTTTACACTGTAGGCATTACTACCTATTTTTATTTCTGAAGGAAAAATAAGCAGCCCTTTATTTTCTGGACTGTGGCTTTTTAATTATTTTTTTTTCTTATTGGCAAATGAAATATTTTGAAAGTATAGCAAAAATATCAACAAGACTTACGTTATACAATGTAACAAGTAAGGAAGCCTCAGAGATGCTGAGACAAGTCTCTCTTGTTAACAAATACATTCATTTCTCAAGTTTATGCCCAAAGAACTGTAGCTGTGGAATTCATTTGGAATGAATACATCCATGATGCAGGAGCACTGAGAAGGGATGTCATTACTACAGAGAACAACTTTCAGATTACCCTGTGTTCGTGTAGGATAGGTTTGCCTTTTAAAAGAAACTTTAAACTGAGCAACAGAACACAAAAGTTATTTTCAGGTGTCTTCATCAAGAAGAAACCCCTAACATGTCAGAAGCATGCCACAGAAGCCTTTGCCTTCTGCCCATCCACTCTTAGCTCAGAAGTAAGAGGCACTGAAAAGCCTAGGGACAGGGTGCACTCTGGGCCTGTCCCAACAGCTACACACAGACTGTTGCCCAGACTCACATCTGTGGTGCTGCTACAGATTTTAACCCATAAAGAGGTGCTTCAGGTATCACAAGTTTGGCAAATACTGGATAATGGCAAATACTTACCTCATCCATTCTTCTTAAGTCATGGCTGTACATAGTACGTGACTAAGAATGTAAAGATTGCTATGTATTTCTAGTTAAGGTTTTATTTCTGCATCAGATAAAGTTCTTTTGGCTTATATATTGTACTTCAATACGAACTCCTCAGCAGTGGAAACAATGCTAAAATTCTACCTCTTCCAATATAGCTTAACCTCTGACATTTGAGCAACCAAGACTTGAGCAACCCTTTCTTACACTCTGCAACAGAACTAACTGTAACTACCTGCTATGCAGCAGTTGTTAAGCTTCATGATCAGAAACAACCTTTTAATAAAAACTATACTAAAAGACCTTTGTCCTTTACACTTGAGCAAATACAGCATGTCCAAAGCACTACTGTCTATTTTGAAAACATTTGAGTAAATGCTTAAAAACATTGTTGTATATTAAGCTTGGAGATCGTTCTGTTTTGTTTACACTGTCAGCACAAGTTTTGGCCAACAAACCAAAATGCTAAATTAAAATTAACATGACAGGAATTCACTAACTATAGCCTGAGAGTTATATGTGCACCTATGACATAAAAAGAAAAGCACTGTGAGAGGGGGAGAGTTTGGAACTTAAAATTTCATTAAAAAGTTTAAGATGTAACCAATTGTTATTTCTATTTCCGTTGCACCCTGCCTGCTCCCCAAAGAACAGCAATTTTTTCTCAATAAACTTTTCTGAAAGTCTCCCAACACTGGAACTCCAAGACTCACAGTAAATTCTAAGCTACTACAAGTATTACAGATGCATACATTTTTACTAAAATAGCTTCAAGATTATTTTAAACTGTCTGATACATCAGGCTACACACATTCTTTTGCAACCAAACCAGTGGTGAGAGAACACAAGAAGAAAACAAAAACACTGCTGACACATTCTATGCAAAAGAGAATTACATTAAAAATCAGATCATGATTCCACCTTGGAGGAAGCCTGACTTCCAAAAGCAGAAGTCTCTCCCAAGCTTGCAGCATTTTGAATCCACTGTAGCTGGAAACTAGAACTAGAAATTTTCCAAACTAACACTAAATGATGAAAGACAGATAGCAAGTACACATCAGCAAAAAGCAAAGTCTGTATAGGACATTAAAAACCAAAGTTACCTCCATAAGCAAGTAACAGGAAAAAAGAAGGTGGAGATCTGCTATAGTAAGGTATGCACAGCTCATATAATTTTGCAATTTTACCTGGTGCCAAAAAAACATTCTAAGAGATTTCAGGGATAGCCCCCTCTTGGTCTTAGCAATTGTGTCAAGAAGCTATAATTGGTGTGAATATCCTTGAAAAACACAACATTGCACAGTTTACAAGCTATAGGCAAGAAAATCTCTGTGCCACTCTGTCTCATCTGAAGTTAGCAAAAATAACTACATGCCTACATTTTTAAGCATCTCCTGAATAAAATCTTTCTTTCGACAGCATCAGTGCCTTGCTTACCAACTTTGCCTAATCCCATGTCACTCATAACCGTAACGCAACTTCGCACAGCACAGTAGAAATGTGTTTTAAAAAGCAACTAGTGATTTCAAATCATGAGCTGAAACCCACACTTGAAAGGTTTCTGATTTTCTGAATTGTGATTTTTAAAATGACTACATTATTTTTTGTCTGTACTACTTTCTTATACTGTCTTCAATATGATAGCTATATCTATTGAAAATATTTTTTACTTGCTTTCAGTTGTTAATAAATTAAAAAGTTTAGCATTTTTCCTGTACCAAGTTTATAAAGGAACATATTTGGCCTTAAGAAACATAGGTCACTTCTAGACTTAGCTCTCTGACATCAATAAATGAACTTTTTATTGGGGTGTTTCGAGTGGTTCTGGGTCAGGGGGGAACAGGACTCAGGAAAGGCTTCAGTTTTGAATGGTGAAATCCGGTATGCACAGCAGACTCATTTCAAAGAAATCTTCACGATTTAAAGCAGAAGGTCAAGGATAGATTAAAACCAGGGCTCTGCTTTTCTTGTTGAACCATAACTTTACTTGTTTAAAACCCACCTATGAAATTTACTAAAAAGAAGCTACCCGGTTTATGAAAATGCTGACCTAGTCTCAACTTAAAATTTTGTCTCTTAACACTGCAGACAACACACTTTGAGGAGATATATATTCATTAACAGACTTTATTATAAGGTAAAGAATTGCACAACACAGAATATGAAGTCAGATTTTTAATGGGGTCAGTTCCTTCAACTTTTTTAGTTATTAGAGATGAGGAAGGTCATGCCATGTTGAAGAAATGATGTCTCAAAGGGACATGCAGAATAACCTGTTTGCCAAAAATTCAAGATCAAATGCAGTTTTGAGTCTTCCTTGCCCATTTTTTCCCTGGACAAAGGCATCAGAAGGTGCTTGTTAGCTTCTGCTAGAAGTAAAGATTAGCAGTAATTTGGGGAGGTACCACAGCAGGGTGATAGGTGGAAGTGATAAAAGAAACTGACCACTCTAAAATAGCAATTCTAAAATTCAGTAAAACAAAGTTAAGCCACTGTTCAAAAGCATGAGCTGTGTAGATGCCAACTATAACAATTACAGCTAACCAAAGAAACGCCTTTCATCACTGTCCAAAAAGTCTAATATGCACACAGTTAGATAATACTACGTTTCTAGAGCCAGCACAGGGTAGGAAGGAGGGATTAGGCACCAATCATATCCTCTCAAAATACTGCTGGCTCCAGCCTAGCACATCCACACCACCAAAAGCAGCCGTATAGGACATTAATAAAGAGGTATAAGCAGATGCTAGAGTTCATAAGGGTTTGTGAAAGAACACTGTCCCCCAAAAACTGGAGTTCCAGAAATGCACAGAATGTTTAGACAGCTAGGTGTTGTGTTATGAACTGCTATTAGTCTGTGTCATGTAATACTCCTTTAGTATCATGAAACAACAGTTCTTGTTCCTTCTTTCACTCTACAATAGGTAAATAATACAGCACATTATACAGAGATATCTATACAGGCAGAGATTAAGCTAGGGATCAAACTGACTGAGGTCATGACTAACTCATGCTAAAACAGACTGAAAATGCAGATCTGTGTTCTCGGCACATACTCAACCCATTAGAAAAAAAGTTCTCTCGTATCATCAAACTTCCTTGCAGCCAGATACTACAATACATACTCATCTGCAGACAGACAGCTGGGAGAACTCCCCTACTCACTTATTAATCTGGATTCTTCCAAAAACGAAGGGACAAGCAACTATTGCTCCTGTGAATGCCAGTTGCCAATGCTGTACAGCTGCATGAATACCAGGTACATATAAATAAGCCCAAAGCCTTGGTACTGGCCAACTGTCAGCTCTGTTGAAAGTTTTATATTAGTTTACACTTATCCACATCTGCTCCAGGTGTCAACATATTGCAGGAATTCTGGTATGGCTTTGATTTAGATTTGGGGGAATTGCTTTTCGAAGTAATCCATCTCTCAGCACCAAAAGGGAAGATCTGAAGACTTACTAAAACACAGAGTATTTTTGCCAACAATTTCAGCAGCTTATGCAACTCTAAGGAATATGCATGTATCCTGTATCCTACCTGGTAAGAATTCACTGAGGCATCTTCCCTATCCAGTCCCTGAGAACTAATGCATAGCTAATCCACTCAGGAAGCGCAGACAGTTTAGTATTTGTAACAGAAGTTAGCATTGCTGCCACGACACAGACAGGGAAACCAAAGCAAAGGGATGAAGAAACACGTTTGTTCTGCCGCAAGAGTTCAGAACATAATGAGGACCCTGGGACCCATACTCTATACCGCTTTAATTATTAGGCCACATAAAGCAGATACATGATTGTATGGAGTGCTCTGAAGTTCTCTGACTCTATGTAAGAAATATAAATATAGACTCGCTGGCGGCAAATCTATTAACCTAGTTTACAATCCTCAAACCAAAAAGTGCTTTTCCAAAAAAAAAAT